CATATTCGCATCGCGATCAAGCTCTACGTGCGGAGCAAGGCCGGGGCGATTGTTGTCGAAGCCGATACTGATGCAGCCTCCTCCGTCGTCTGCAACCTCCTCCGCCCGCTGTAGCCCCTGAAGACTGACAGCAAAGGCAGCGCGAGCGAGGCGACGGCCCTCCCTGCCCGTCGTCTTCGCAAACTCGCGTCGTCGCTTGGCGCCGAGGGGCTCGTTCAGCTACGCCCCATCGCCGCCATTTTCGACGTCTCCCGCTTCGACATCCTCGCCCTTGCCTACGGTCCCTACTTGTGCCGCCTGCGGCCCTTTCTATCTCCGCCTTCGAAGGCAACGCAATGCGGCCGTCTTGGCGAACCGCGCACTCCTGCTCATGATGCAAAGCGGCTAGGACGCCAGCGAAGTCGTCACTCATGCAATGAACCTCATCCCGCTCCTCGTTGCACTCTACTTCCACCGCCCGACGTTCGAGTCCGCCCTCCGGGACGGCCTTCACCTGCGCGACAACGGGTTTGGCGCCGTACTGCTGCTCGTGTGTGCCCTCGGCGCGCGCTACACGGACGATCCACGCGTGCTCCTCGACCGGTCCGCGTCCCAGTCCGCCGGCTGGCAGTGGTACAACCAGGCGCAGATGATCCGGAAGTCGCCGCTAGCCCCGCCGCGGCTGTACGACGTCCAGCAGTACTGTGTACGTGATCCCTTCCCGCTGTCATGTGCATGCATTGACACGAACACGTCCTAGTTGGCGTCACAATTCCTCCTGGGGAGCGCGGCTCCTCATATGGGCTGGAACATGATCGGCCCCGGTCTGCGCCTTTGTCATGACGTGAGCGCCCACCGGGGCATGGTATATCGAGGCGTGGGCGAGGGCCAGATCGTGGAGGAGCAGTGGAAACGCGTCTTCTGGTAAGCCTCGTGCGTGGTGTGGGATAAACGCCATGTCGTCTCATCACATAACGCGACGCAGGATACTGGTTAACCTCGACCGAACAACCTGCAGCGATCTGGGGCGGAGCCTCGCAATGCTTTATGACGAGTGAGCACTCCCATAAGAGCGGTTTCTTCGACGACACATCCCTAACAAGATGTCCCGTAACCACAGCATCGATGCGCCCCTGCCTCACGAGTGCGATGACGAGTATTGGCGTACTCCGGACGGAAAGTACTTCCAGAAACCGCCTGGAAAACCCTCGATGGCGTCCCACCTCATCTGGAATATCAAAATCCGTTCCATTCAGGCCTTCGCTACCCGCACCCTCGTCAGTAGCTTATAAATCCCTGTCTGTCTCGAACCTGGGAATAATTGAACGCTGACGAGTTATAGTTCGCTGTCTCCCGACCGAAGAGCTACGAGTGGGAAGAGCGCATTACAGCTAGGCTGGATCTGGCGCTCGAGAAGTGGAAGGAGAAGATCCCTGAACATCGTGCGTGTCGATTGTCGGTCCCTTCTTTGCCATAGCTGAACGCTCATTGAATGGCATGCTTATATGCAGTGCGCTGGAACCCGTCCCAACCGAAGGCGGTCTTCCTCCGGCAGGCGGCTTCACTTTGGTGCATGTACCACTACACGCGAATCATCATCCACCGGCCGTTCATCATCTCCGCCCGGCGTGCGACCCCACTCGGTATCTCTTCGCTTGCGATCTGTTGCTCCTCTTCCCGCTGCCTCGCTCGTATTCTCGAAGTGGTCATGCGCTGTACATCCGCCGGAAGTCAAACTTGCTCGGAGGCGACCGGCCATTTCGCAAAGATGCCAGGATCCGAATCGCGTCCAAGGGAAAGTGTGATGGAAAGGTGATGACCAATTCAGCAGAAGCCATACCGGAAGTTACGAGTGGTAGGGAGCGGGAGATGTCGGTAGAACGTGAATTTCGCGTTCTAGCCTGAAGAAATGTCCAGAAAATGGACACATGGGGAAGGTGTCTTCGTCGGCGGGCAGTCAAGATAGACGCATAGCGGGGAGTTGGAATTCGGAGAAGGAGATCTTGCTCTACAAGATTAAGTAAGTATTACCTGTGGGCTACTGGATCGTTGTTATCTAACAGCTTACGATGCTCAACAAACGCGACGGAATATTTCTCTCACGCGTCGAGCATGTCAGTCTGGATAGACGTTCAGAAACCACGATTTCGTCGACACGATTATGAGTACAAGAATTCTATGGATCAGGTTCAGCTCGCCAAGCTCTGACCTCCTTCACGTAAGCTCTGTGCTGCTCAAGCTTCTTGTTAGTCTGTACGAGCTGTTCTTGTGCGACCTTGCAATCCTCCACCAGTCGCCGTATTGTTGCATCCCGCGCTTGAATTATTACATCCTGGGCGTCTATTTCCTTTTCAGCATCCTCCAGGCGGTGGACCAAGCTTTCTATGGTCTCCTTAGGCTGCTGTATCCCACCCTGGCGGTCATCAGGTCAGTCAAGGCAAGGTCGCGTGGTGGCGTATCGCATACCGCGTCGCCGGAACAAGGGCCAGCCACCACGCCAGGGCGGAGATCATCCTCGCAAGTCATGACGATCGACGGGCTGCGAGCCGTGAAGGCCCGAGTACGTGGGCGATGTCGCGTAATCGGAGGGCTGCCCCTTGCTCTGTAAGATGCCGTAACGTCACCGTCAGAAGAGGTGATGCGACCGCGGCGGGTGGTTCGAGCCGCGCCACCAACCAGCAGGGACGATCGAGCTCGATGCGAACGTTCAGCGGGCATAGTTGACGGAAATGATCCTTGCGATCAACGCTTGAGATGGTGAGATGGTGAGGGCGTTCAACGCTATGAGCTAAAGTGAGCATACACGGAGGCATACTTGAGCGGTACGGAAAGCACAATAGACGGAGATGGGTGTCAAGGGCGATATTCTAAGACAAAAAGGCAAGTTAGGCTCACCGTCGATTCATTGCCTATGCCACGACGTCACATTCCCATCATCGGCCGATGACAGAACGGTCACCGTCCAGCCACAATAAAACGTGGATGCCGAACACGGCAGCAACGATATCGTGTTTGGTCAGAGCCGCGCGAAGAC